AAGCGTGAAATATAATGTTCTCAGTGCCACTGCGCTCAACAAGACAGCCTAAACGGCGTAACAGGCAACGTGCTGTCTGCCCAGTGGCGTAGCGGACGGCCCCGTGATAACCTCCCCTTGCTGGGGTGTGTCGAAAGACGATGATCTTGTATCGACGATAGCCAGAGATATTGTCAAAAACATCAATGTTTGGCAATATTAAGAGGATTTGGCATTTCCAATTAATGTAGGCCCATTACACTCTTATTTTTATTAGGCCTATTATTATTATGAAGTTACTTTTATTAAATTACAATTAATTTGCCCCGCAATAATTACCGCATAACTGACACGCTACGAGGATAACAAAAGATTAAGCTATTTACTAAGTTAAAATATAAAAAAAAAAATATATTTTTTTTTAAAACAGGTCTATTATACGATGAATTATAGGTCTTTAATTAAAATATTAACACTGCAGTCATCAATAAAAATCAATGAAATAAAAAGCTTAGCCTATAGGCCTATTTCAAGCACCGACTTTCAAAAACAACCTGTTTAACACGAAATATGTTTCTTCTCTTTTTTTCCCACTATGTACAGGCCACAAGAGAAATGTTAAGGGAATAAATGAAAACAGTTAGCTATATACCATTATCAGCATATGTGTAAGTAGATTCGTCTACTAGATTCGTTGATTGAGATTAAGATGTTCACCGGCATAACTCTTGCGCAAAGTTTGCACGTTGCTTGTGTGTGATATCCATTGGCTCGCCTTCATGGTTTAAAACAGAAACATTTCCAACATTGCGACGTAACCAATTAGAAGGGCAGTTTAACCCCTAACTACCTCCAACATCGGAGAGAGAGTACATTTGGAGGACATCAATTTGTACACAAATTCATGCATGACTAACTAGAGACCCCAGTGACAGCTCAGGGTCACCGGGTCAGGTGTGAATCCTCGTTTTAACGTATGAATCTGAGATTCCAGAAATCCAGTAGGCTGACAGGCTGCCAGACAGCCCTGAATCATGGGAGAGGGAAAAGAGAGCGATTTGGCGGGAGCAAGCGATTGGCTCACGCTGAATGTTTTCCAGGCAGGTGGCAGCACGCAGTGGCAGCAGAGCAGGTGCGGTCGCTAACAGCAGGGCTCCAGAGAGACGGCAGCCAGTCTGCTGGCACAGAGATTGGTGGACTGAGAAATGGGGTCAGGCTTCACTGGGAGGAAAACGACACTGGTAACTGAAGTGCGCCCATTTCTTTGGCTCTTTTTTAATGCTCCAAATCTAGGCAGTAAGAGGATTTACTAGCGTAACGCAAGCCAGGCCCCGAACTGTAGTGGGCTGTCACGCAACTATAAGAATCTTTTGAGGAAACTCTGGAACAACGAGACACACACACACACAGACACAAAGGCATGCTCACGGACAACACACACCTACACACACAAAGAGCTGTAGTGTTGAAAGCCAACTGTTGTCTGCAGCTTTCTCTTTCCAGCCAGGCTTCACTGGTTTTCAACACTCACAGCACACATAACCCTGAACCCATCCCTCTGCTGAAAGCAGGTAACATCATTCAGTGCTTTTCTTCCCCAACCCCTTCAGTCATCACACAGGGTCCAAGCAGATTGTAACTTCTCCATTAATATCACCTTCCATGCTTCCATGTACTCAAAAATATAAATAAAAAAAATAACCTGTGTTATAACCGCCCCCCCCC